ATCACTCTTAGATTCATCACCCACAGTTCCTCCTTCGTTTCTGGTCCACCCATGAATAACATCACATCCTTTACCAATGTAATAAAAATGATCGTGTCTATTTTGGAAAATGTCATAGATCATATGAATAAATTTAATATATAGTTATGAATAAAAAATTCAATTATTCATTTAAATAAATTACCCTCCAAGCATCAAATCAATATCATCTTTACACTGCTTGGCAAGTTTAATATCATTCGATAGCCGACAATGTGTAAGAGCAATAACAAGGTCAACGACGTGAGGACCGTTGGGGTCGCGCAACTGTGCAGAAAGCTCTTTTCCAACACTAACGAAATCTTTATATTTTATAGTTGATGGAAGATTAGGAATGGTATCAAGCCAATCTCTAGAACAGTTAAAAATTTTTTTTATAAATAAAACTTAATCCGAAATGATTGAGACGAATATTTTAGAAAGTTTAAATAATATATGATTATTTATTATTATTATTATTATTATTTTATTATTATTTACTTTTCAACCAATCCTATAATTCCAAGCTTGAGTCCATTCTTTTCCAGAATTACAAATTTTTTACTTCCGACCACAGGTTCATCAGTTTCCGAATCAACAACATTAGAAAGAAGCCAGGGAAAATTGGACATTGCTATCAATCCTTTAAGAGTTGGTACTCCAAAATCGAAATCATGGTTTCCAAGACAAGCAGCATCAATTCCAAAAGCATTCATCGCCGGTACCTAACATAAAAAATAATAAACAATGATTTATAGTTGCTTGATTAATTGTAATTAATAACAAAAAAACAAAAGGATCAATAATCGAAATCGAAGGGATACCATGTGCGTTCCTTTACTAACGCTACTTTCAACTGATGGGTTAAAAGCATCACCACTAAAGAATATACATGAATTTTCACCACCATAACTTTCCCTAAATTCTTTAATCGCTGTTGCAAACCGAGCAGCGCCACCAACAGGTTCATGCTTCTGTGGAGAGAGATGATATATATCATTAAAATGAAGAATTTTTAAATTGGACATTTTAAATTGGATGAGTTTAAAAGTTGTTCAGATTTGATCAGCGAAGAGAATTAGTCTCTTTTTCATGTGTTTGACTGTAACACGTAGTACATGTATGTACGCACCAGTACGTACGTACATAAAAAAATTTGCTCCATTCAGCACTCGTTAATTATATATAAACGCACAGTTGAATAAAAGAACATTTGTAAAAAATATGCACCAATTTCATACATCTGCAAAGCGTTTTTTATGTACGTACGTATGTATATGTTATTGTATTTATTGTAAAATGTTAACGACTCAATGACCTGTAATTTAATGCAAGCCCGTAAGGGATCAATCCCAGATCAAAATTTTCATGGCCAATCTAAATTCACTTGGTTTTTTTGCTGTATAGTACGTACCATATTTCGAAGATTAATTAAATATTGATATACGATTTTAAAACGATCTTTACATTCAAGATTCTATTTGAACCTACACTCACCAGACATATTGTATATACGTCGTTTATGGAGCAGAGCACATAATGTATCAATATGCACATATATGAAACAATATGCGCGATAACAACGATCGTTAAAGTCGGACATTCATAAGATTAATTAGGGCAAGCGTTAGTTTTAAGGAAGACCGCCCCATATGTGAAACATGATTATGAAAATTGTTGAGATAATGTCACACGTCGATCCGCCCATCGAATCATGACCTTACAGCTTTAAAAAATAGATGATACCGAAAATTCCTAGGGACCCTGGTGTTTAATTGTTATCCACATGACAAATAGTGCGATTGCTAACGTGAAATGTCGATCGACTGTTGTGTTTTACGCGTTACGTATTGCGTGTTAGGTCTATAAAAGAATTTTAAATACCAGTTACAATCAATTCGTAACATTGGTTGGAATTTATAAGTTTCCTAATGTAGTATCGATATTATGTACGTATTAATTACTAGATTTAGTCATGGGTTAAATGTTCGGGTGACAAATAATGTTATGGGAGGACAGTGTCATTGAGGAA